CATTCAGGCTCCCTAGTCTACATTTGTGTCTTTCCACCAGGTCCTCTCGCGGCCGCCGTCCTTTGTGCTCCACGTTATTGCTCGGAGAGTTGCCTGAGGGAGGAGGCGCCGTTAAGGCTGTTGTTATGTTGGGATTATTCAATAAAGACAGACTTGCCACTGCATCACAGGACGTGTGACTCTGCAGTCTATTCTTGATCATTCTGTGTGCTCCCTTGTTTATGCTTATGTACACCCACACACACACCGGGTCGCTTTTGGAGCGTCTAATCTGGCTATTTATTTCCCGCTGTGTGTGAGTGCATGCCACCAGCTTTACGTAGGAAGCCTCTTTCTAAGAAATTCCTCTCTGTGTGGTGGTAGTGGCGAAAGGTTGTCTCAAACCAGATTAATTAGAGCTCAGTCTGAAGCCAGCAGACGCACGGCAACACACACACACACACACGCACACACACACACACACACAGCTCCTCACGCTGTTCTGAAGAGAGACGAGTGGTTAGCTCTACGTCTTGTGCACTTTTAATCTCTTTGTGAACCCCCCATGATCTCTGTGTTCACCTCCTGCCACGCTATTACTCTTGTGTTCCTCCTTCCTCTAGGACTTGATTTGTCAAGGTGTGTGTGTGTGTGTGTGTGTGTGTGTGTGTGTGTGTGTGTGTGGTGTGTGTGTGTGTGTGTGTGTGTGTGTGTGTGTGTGTGTGTGTGTGTGTGTGTGTGTGTGTGTGTGTGTGTGTGTGTGTGTGTGTGTGTGTGTGTGGTAGTTTCATTGCCCTGGATCAGCCTCAAAACTTTTCTAATTGGAGGTGTTAGTCGTGGTCGTTGCTGAGTTCAGGGTTTTTTCACCGACCCCAATCCCCCCCATCCAATCCTCCCTCCCCTCTCTCTCTCTCTCTCTCTCTCTCTCTCTCTCTCTCTCTCTCTCTCTCTCTCTCTCTCTTTCTCCCCCTACACCCCCCCTTCTGTACCCAACAGCTAAGCTCTTACAAATGTGTTGAGGATGCATTTTCACCCAAACACTTTCCCACCCCCTCTTCTTCCTCCTTCTCTGCCCCCCCCCTCCCCGTCCTGTTCCTCCTCATTGGTGTTACTCCCTCTATCCCCTCCGCTGTCCCCCTCCTCCTCCTCCTCACTTGCCTCTCTCTTTTTCTTCTCTTCTTTCTCCCTTGTCATTTGCACCCCCCACCCCGTCCTCCCTCCATACTCAGCACTTTTCTGGGCTGTGGGTGTGATGTCTCCGCTGTAACGCTAATCAGCTCTGGAGGACGTCAGCATTCTTTTCAGTCCTCCGCCTCCTCCTTCCACCCCCCCCCCCCCCTCCTCCTTTCTTACCTAGTCTTCACCTTGCTATCCCACCAACTCCTCACCTTCTTTTTCCCCCCGCTTTCTCCTCCTCTGGCTTTTATATTACTCGTCTCCATCACTTCTTATCTCTTCTTCCATCCCGGTCCCCATGTCCCGTCCTTTTTGTGTGTGTGTGTGTGTGTGTGTGTGTGTGTTGTCTCTCCACTGTAACTGTAAGCAGCTCTGCTCTCGAGTTGTCAGCGTTCTGTGGGTTGCTCCATAAAAATACAGCCTGCCACAGCAAAAAAGCTGTGTGTTGTAGCAACAGTGGCTGTGGCATTGACCACACCGCAGCGACCACCCCGCAAGCATTATGGGAAGGACACCTCTGGCACTTTGTGTTACTCTGTGGGTGGGTGTGTGTTTGTGTGTGTGTGTGTGTGTGTGTGTACGCCCAAGATGAATGGCGATGCCTTTGCTCAGCAGATGATCCTTAACCTGGATGACTTACACATGGCCTCAGCTCTCTGACAACACACACACACACACACACACACACACACACACACACACATACAGAAGCACACACTAGTTTATTGCGGTTTACTGCTGTTGTGTAGGTCAGGCTTGTTGTCTAACCTTGATGAAATATCCCCAAACTTCTCAAATGTGAACTGATGCCATTTGTCTTAATCTTGTCCAATATTAAACTAAATACATTTAAAGAAAAAAAACTTAAACAAGGAATTTGACCTTTCCTCTAGAGACCACAAGGACACGAGAATAATCATTAGTCGTTGTCATAGCACCCATTCTTTCTTACCTCAGTCAGTAAATCAGTGTACCTGACTTGACTCAATCAAAAGTCTCTTCATTTCGTTCAACCTGAATTTCTTCTCCGATTTACTTTACAAATGTAAAAGCCACAACAAATGAGTGACGATTATTAAAAGTTACCTTAAAGGTGGAGTAGGTAAGTTTGAGAAACCGGCTCGAGATCGCTAGAATTTGAAAATACACAGCCGGAAAAAATCTGCCACTTCCTTACAGAGCCCCTCCTCCAACACACACGAACGAGCACATGACCAATGAGGGCACGAGATAAGTGTGTGCACAGATGGAAGGCTGACAGGCAGGTAGGCCATCCAGTTATTTTAGCCGGGCCGGCTAAAATGATTGGTCGTGCTTTTTACAGTACCACGGCTTCCACAGATGACATTTTTTGATGTATTTTTATCAAAGCACTTAAGATATTCATTGCTATCGGGATGTTAAGAGCATTCCATGGAATATAACAAAAAGTGTATCTCGAGCCGGTTTCTCAAACTTACCTACCCCACCTTTAAAGTAAAATGATTATTAAGGATCTGTATTGGTTTTGATATGGATATTACAATTACCTTTTGTGCACCTGCAGTTATTCCATTTGCTACAGTAGTTGCTTTTATCTTAGACATTTTAATTATGTTTTTTCAAGTATGGAATAAAACCATTCATGCACAGCAAGCTCAATTCCACACGTATCGAGCATTCTTTCGCACTTTAAACAGAACCACACATTTGCACTTTGTGTACTTGCAGGCAAGCGTTTTACGTGTGAGTTTTATTGTGCCCCACTGGCATGGCGGCGGGGGATTGTGTGTGCGTGTGTGTGTGTATGTTCTTGCTGGCATGCTTTTTGTTTGCATGTAGAACGGGTTATGGGGGTTGGGGCTTGGGCACAGGGGAAATAAACCAGTGCCTGGCAGGGAAACAGCCTTCTTTTTTGCCTTCTCTGTTCGCCCCCCCCCTCCCACTCTCTGTTCCTCCCCCACCCCCAGCAGCCACCCTCAGTTTTCGCGTCTTTGATCCATCTATTGTGCGATGATACACCTCCAGCTGTGGAAGGCTGCATCCCAACAAAACGCAACGCTACAGCGCTACACGAGGATGAAAGACATTTGGTTATTGAAGAAGAAGAAGCTCCATTAATTGTCTGACCCTTACTTATGAAGGAGTGCTTGAAGTCTGATTCTTTGAATAATGCTTTATCATAGCAAAGGTCCATGTAGGGAAAAGTGTAGCATTTTTCTCCTCCAATATTATTTGTTTTTTCCCTGACAGATTTCTGACTTGACGTGCCGTGTGCATGATGATTACTTGTATATGTGTATGCTTTTTTTCTGTGATGTACAGCTATTTATAACTGTAGGATCTGTGGCAGCCTCGCACAAATACTAACAGACAGGCAGGCAGACAGGTGCATTGTGGGGGAGGTTCAGTGACACGCTCAGTGCATTGCCTTGTGACAGAAAAGAATAAGAATGAAAGAGGAATAGACATGTTGTCGCATGTCATCACTCCTCTTAATGAGGAGATTTTTAAATTACCCAACTTTTGAAGGACTGAAGCAATATAACACATTTCCAAATTCTTACTTTTTTAAAGAGACCCTGATGTATACATGCTTACAGATTGTCTTTAATCAGCAAATAGCTTCAACTAAAACTCTGATTCAGCAGTGTAGGTGTGGAGGTTTGGCTTGAAAGCAGGTGTTTCTGTTCGTCAGACAGCCAATCACATTCAAGCACAGCCTTAATGTGACCGCCCTCCTGTCCTGTAGGCTTTCCTCAGCCTGCAGCTATACTTTGGGCAAAACCCTAAGCTTTTAGAAAAGGACTTGGAAGGTTTTAAATGATGTCAAATCTGAGAGGTAAAGGGGGAATAAAGAAATGTCTGCGGCAGGATAGGAGAAAGAGAGAGAGAGAGAGAGAGGAGGAAAGGGGTGAGAGAGTGAGATCAGGAATCTGCTGATTCATCATGACTGGTCTCATGATGATCGCTCAGCAGCAGCAACAATAGCCGCCCTTTATCGAACACACACACACACACACACACACACACACACACACACACACACACACACACACACACACACACACACACACACACACACACACAGGTCTGAGAGATGAGAGCCGGACAACGCGCCACACAAAGCATCGCATTGAGAGCTTGTGGAGATGCTCATCTGTGGAGCTGTGCGCACTAAGAACTGATCTCATCTTTTTTCACTTCCAGGCTCCCTCTTTGTTGACTTCTGAGTCACACTGTGTTCTCTACATCCTTTTGTCTCTTGTTTCCGCTTTGGTACTAACGCGTAAACATCATTTAATCTGGTTTACCTACATTTTTATCTCAAGTAATTGTAGGTCTATACCTGCTTTACAAATTCGCTATTGTTTACACTACAGTCACTATGGTGTGTGTGTCTGTGTGTCTATGTGCGTATTAGGGCTCTAACTGTTGGTTTTCCCCTGAGATCCTTCCCACCAATGTCACCACTTCCTATTCATTTTTTACCCTCATTCCTACTGGCCTAAATCCAACCAATAAGAGTTCAGCAACACAAAGGTGGTGGGCACTGTTGGTGTAACCACCAGGAACAGGAAGTCAGGGAAATTCTAAGAAAAGTTTGTGTGTCACTTTCACTCTCACAATGTGACAAGCATGCATGAAACGGCAACATGCTCTCACAACAGGGCTCCAACAGTAGATATCAAACTGGTGTATCTCCACTGGTCCTGGTGGGTATTGACTCACACTTGGTTTAATCTTATTCATCTCAAGAAACCATGTTTATTTTTTAATGCTGTTACTCTGTTACCTGGCTACACGCAGAACTGCTTTTTTGGTGTTTCTATGCTAATGCTTCGTACTCTCTTTTGTCTCCGTAGGTGTGTTCAGAAGAGCAAGGCACTTGTGGCATGACGACGACTAACAAAGGAAATAAAGCCTTGAAGGTAAAAGGGCTGCATATGTTTTACGCTCAATTCTCTATGTTTGAGATGTGGTTCTGTTTCACGACCCCTTTTTTTTCGTCCTGCTTGCTCCAGGTGAAGCGTGAGCCGGGGGAGAATGGCACCACCCTCACGGACGACGAGCTGGTGACCATGTCAGTGCGGGAACTGAACCAGCACCTCAGAGGGCTCACCAAGGATGAGATCGTGCAACTGAAACAACGGCGGCGCACCCTGAAGAACCGGGGCTACGCCGCCAGCTGCCGGGTGAAGCGGGTCACCCAGAAGGAGGAGCTGGAGAAGCAGAAGAGCGTGCTGCAGCAGGAGGTGGACAAACTGGCCAATGAGAACGCTTCCATGCGCGCGGAGCTGGACGCTCTGAGGTCTAAGTACGAGGCGTTGCAGACCTTCGCCAGGACTGTGGCACGGAGCCCCTCTGTGGGGGTCGGTGTGAGGGGGGGAGGGGGAGGAGGAGGGGGAGGCATGGCGTCGTCAGTCATTGGCCCGTTCATACCGGGGAAGATGGCAACAGCCACCAGCGTGATCACAATAGTGAAGTCAAAAACAGATGCACGGTCTTGAGGGAGGGAAAGATAGATGAGGGGGTGCGGTCATTCTTCTTCTCTGCCGCCCACCTGTCCTCCACCTGCACTGACGTCAAACAGCTGGGCGCTCTCCATCACATCGCCTCAGCACCATCACCTGTCTCAGATCAGTGCAGCTGGAGGAAAGGGTGGAAGCAGTGGAAGATTGTTGAGACTCTAAAGATGCAAGTCTTTGGTCGGCGCATGATCATTTAGCACAGGACAGATACACAGGGTTCCTACGGTCACTGAAAACCTGGAAAAGTCCAAGAATTTGAGATTAGGTTTACACCAGGCCACGGGGGAAACATTTAAGAATGTCAATGCCCAAAATACTTTGGAAAAATCATTCAAACCAAGTTGTAGAACATTTGAATTCGCTACACTAGGCATGACTTCATTTAAAATGTTCTTTAATATTCAAACATTGGAATTGGAAAGTGAACAACACTTAAATATCCTTAATAAATAAAATAATTATTCAAATAGACTCTCAGGCTGTGTGTTGCACAATGCCGAAGTCCTTTTTACGTAATATCGTGACAGGCCTATGCCACCCAAACAAAGATATTCAAACACACAACATTTGTATTAGAGCCAAAAAGATGGTGCTTATGTATTTCTGTTTGTTGGATTAGATTGACACAAAAAATCTTTGGACCCTGAGTTCCAACAGAATACGCAAGATTCCCGTGACCTGCTGATTTCAGTCCCATCATGCTCCACCCTAGCCAAGAACTTTTTAAGAGAAGTACTAGAGAAAATATATATTACACAATGGTGGTAACTGTATTTCTACTGTTTTGTACCGTGTTGTCATTCACATGAGGTCCAAAGTGTATTCTCTGTGCGTCAATTGTTATATCAGGAATTCTGTGAAATTCTGTTGCGCGTGTTTGGTATTGCTATATTTAGTTAGCTGTATTTTTTTCTACGATCTCTTCACTTTCTATGTACAGCTCTCTTTCTCTTACCTATTGTTTCTCTGTCCTTCCATTTCTCAATTCCAACTGGTTTCCATTCTTACACACAGTACTTCCTGGATCCAACAGAAAGAAGGGCGATAAGGCAATTGATATTTACCAAAAAACACAACATACTATAGAGGAAAGGAGATAAGGTTACTGACCTTATCTCAGTTTATAGGAATCTTCAGGGAAATGGTCTTTTGAACACCAGGGCTGAATCAAGATAAAGTTGTCTTCTGTCTCTCAAAAGTATGTTGAAAAAAATTGGAAGGGCAAGTGCCTTTGGTCTCCTAATGATATGCATCATCTCAAAGGCAAGAGGAATTCTGGGAGGACGGTGGAGATTCAATGCAGTTGTTTGTTTATATACCTGTGCTTAATGTGAAACACTGACCAATCAGGAATCAGGTTGTGGCAGCATTTAACTGTGCGTTGTTGTATGAGCTGTGTAGTAGCAAGATTATAAAAATCAATAACACCCATTTATGTGACTCGGCAGTTCATAAACTTAAATATTACTCTCAAAATGACCATTTCAACATCTAATACTTACCCCGCATCACCATGGATTCTTGAACAAATCTTTGGGCTTTTTCGGAAACCCCCACCATTAATGGAGAATCAAAAATCGTATAAACATTTTGGTGATTTGAAGTAAATTGGGGCCACATTTTAGAAAAGCAAAGCCAATATATCTGTGCTAAAACTTGACTATTCTATACACTTTGGACTTGCTCAAGAGTGAGACTATTAATGCGGAAGTGTTTTAAATCTTAAAATGTTTGGTAAATGAATGTATTTGGAAATGATGGGCACACAACTGGATACATGAGACTTATATTAAACTTTACAAGTTGTGTTAGTTTGTAAACACATTTTTATGTATAGTTTTGCTGTTTTTAAAACGCAGCCACTATTATTTGGAAATTAAATGGACTTTTTTCCATTTTTGGATTCTTTTATCACTGTGGGGGTATGCTAATTTTGTTCAAGAGCTCAAGGTAATTCAGGATGAGTCATTGATTTAGAAAGTATCACTTTGTTGGTGAAGTATTCCTTCAAAAAGAAAAGAACAAGAAGTATTGGCAAAACCGCGCCATTTTCTTGCACAGAACAAGCTTTTGGGAAAGTTATGAGTAAAAAACGGTTTTATGCTAATAATATGGTTTGCGTGTTTATGAATTTGATTGGCTACTGACTCAAAGATCTAGGTTATTTCACCTACAGCACATTCTTGCCTCTAATCAAAGCGGTTAATGTTGCTTTCTCTCGCTTTGAACCACAAAGTCAGTCACGGACTGCAGTCAGCCAGCAATGCTTATTCTCTGAATTAAAGGTCACACAAATGGGATGTCATGTCACAGTTTTACCATAAAAGTAGTCTTACGTGGTGTTCTATACTCCAAGAATCTGTGTCTATGTACGGTAGAGTCTGGAATTTTATAAAGACAATTATCTTTGCATTGTTTGTAACGACCTGTAAAAAAAAAAAAAAAAAAATAGGTGTAACAAAATCTGTTTGATATACAGTATCTCTCTATTTTGCAATTGTACCAAAAGTGGCTTAACTACTGAATAGCTTTGTTTCTTCTCTTGTGACTAGGCACGTGTGTGTAACCGTGAACTAGCGTGTGGTGTGCTGTGTAGGTATGTGACGAGGTAACTATAACTATTTCATGGATATGACTTTGATCCTTGTTTGATTTCAGGCCAAAGCGGGGGATGACACTGTAGGTAACTTTCTCTAATCAGAAGATCTTTGTCCTCCCGGCCCCATCACTCAGCTCCTGCACTGCAGACGTGTTACACAGTGTTTATCTGCTCCTAATCTGCACTCATCATTTTGTACATCTCAAGTCCATTTAGCACATATTTCTGAACAGGATGTCTGCGGCTTTATTTTGGTCCTTGCAGCGTTAAAAGCTAGTTATTGACCGATGAGATGAGGAAGTGTTATGGTTAACCTCACAGGCTTCATGATATATCGTGTATTCAGGTCATCCGGGAAAGTAATAGCGATGTAAAACTCAACAATGGGCCTGTGCTGCACCACCCCCTGCTCCATCAATAGGTTATTTTTGTAATGTGTGATGAGAAAACATCTTGTTTTTGCTGTGTACATTTGACATAGTTCTGTATATATATTGTTCCTGTTTTGTTTTGATCTGTAAGTGTCAGGGAAGTGAAATTTGTTAACGTATTTGGTGTTTTATGAAGTGAAAAAAAAAGTATTCTGCTGTTTAATGGTTTGTCTGTCAAAGAGTTAGGTTTACTTCACAAAGTCCAATTGCCTCAACTGGATGTTCTTTTCTTTAAACTAATGGAAACCTGATATAAATAATTTACTGAAATATAGAAGCAATTGACATGATATAACAAGAGACCATACATGCAGCCTTTTTCCTGAACCGCTCCTTTTCCACTGTGAAGAAAACGTGGTTAACCAGCCTACTGCTGTGCAGTTATTAAGATGAGCGATGTGTGTCTGAATTGACGGTAATATCAAATCAAACAGGTGAACAGTGAACAAAGGCATTGGTAGGGAAATGTGTTTAAAACATATTATTTATCTTTCATCTTTACACTGTATGTTAAGCTAACCGTGACATTTGAGGACTACCAATGTCAAAATAAAAATGTCTCAGTCATTTTATTTTGATGTCTTATCACAGGAATATCCTCCATGGTATTCAGCCACAAGCAAGCATAGGTATCACACCCAGCATATTTATGTATGTGCTCTTTATTTGTAATTTATTTTTGAATGTGTCCTGTTTTGTGTACTCAGAATAATATTATTATATTTCCCTGATGAAGTTTTATTCCTATATAATTTCACTCAGTATACTGTCTTTTTATTTGCTTTTTTAAATTGTAATGAATTTGTTCTGGCTCATCCTGTGTTGCGTGTGAGGTCATAGTGGTATCCATTAGAGGGGGAAAGCACTAAGGGTTTATCGGTGTCAAGTTGAAACAGAATTATGAAACTTCCTGATGCCTGTGAAAGCCTACGTAACACCCACTATGATATTAATGCTCCTGTTGTTTTTAAACGATGCATACTGTGTAAGCAAAGATCTGTTCACATGGTGGCTGATGTTTAATAGACATTAAATATCATCAAGAAAACGACCTCCTGCTCCCAGGAGGAGTGACACATTCGTAGCTGTTGAGTGGAGTTGTCTCTTTTATAAAAGCAGGTGTGATGTGACATGTTAAATAGCTGTGGTTATCAATCCATTTGTGGTTGTGAATGCCAGCACCAGTTTGTCTCTCTTTTATGTGTTGTGGCTTACATTGCTTTTTTCACCATGTCACTTAACAATCAACTGTGAAAACATTTAAATCATCATATAGGTTTGATCAACTTCCATTTGAGGAGAAGGAGAAATCTAAAATAAGTTTGTTGTATTCCTCCAGTGTAAAACAGTCAGGGTGAAATATTTCTCCCAAATGTTCACTCGGCAGACGTGATCAGATGACAAATAGGCCGATTATCAGACAGAGCATCTTAGTGGCTTTTCATAACCGAGTTTATGGGCTTGTTAGACAACGCTGACCTTATTTCCCTCTGCCTGTACAGGGGTCATACCCTCTGTATGAAGAGACATTTCATTACAAATCCAAGCTCCTAAACTTGCTTCCATAAATATTTTTACAGAGGCAGAAAGGAGTGGTGGAGACACATCGGATAAAACCCCACTCCATTTATCCCAGCCCTCTTTACAAAGTGTCAGCGAGTTAACTCAGCAGCACTTCTACAAAACCTCAGATTCTTCTAGAAGACGCAAATCATTAACTCCTTATCTCCCTGCCTGGCCGAACAGTATGTAGTCAATCAGTTGTTTTCCTGTCTACTGATTCACGCCACAGGACCTTAAAAGCCCTTTCACCCTCCTCCAATGCCGATCGATGAGAGTAAATGAACCAAGGATTCCTTTGATGGTTTGTTTGGTGTTGTCATCAATAATAATGTTGGTTTTGTACTTCCTTCTGCTGCTCTCTCTTACTCTCTGCCCTTATCAGTTGCAAAGCCTCTAGCCTACAATACGTACCCAGAGTTTCACATCACATTAACTTATTTCTATGTTTTGCTTGTCATTGTAACAGTCTCTCTATTTGTACTACTTTAATGTTTTTTCCCCCATTAAACCATGTGATCATTTGGACAGGTATGGGGATATGTTTGTGTTTCTAAAAGTATATTATGGTCAGTTTAAAGCTATAGAAAAGTAGTGACTGTGTGAATATGGCATAGCCTGTTCAGAAAAAGCCCTTGTAATAGGAAATTCTGTGTTTTGTAATATTTCTGTATGGGGTGTAATAAATTGTTCTACGACAGTACTTTATACGGGAAAATACTTTAAATGTGTCTTTGTAAGTATTTATCTTCAACTAAATTATTGTACTTCTTTTTTTTGCAATTTGTAGATATGTGAGGTGATGATGACAAGGTATTGGTAATCATGAAATTAAATGTTTCATCATCGGTCTGATCCATCTTTTAATTTATTGATGTATATACTGTATGTTTGTTGATAAACAGCTTACTTTATTTTGTATATGACCAATAAACATGTTTTGAAATGGAACCTTGTGTAGTTGTATCATATATATCATATATACATTGGAAATTATTCAGCAAGTTAATTAAGGCTAATTCCTACTGGGTAAAAAAAGACAGCCACTTAGGTTGATCATCTTTATTCATTATTATCATAGCCATTGTGTTCTTTCTTTTCTTTTTTCAAGGAAAATTAAAGACTTTTACACTTTTTAATCAGTCACACAATTATTTAACATTTTCCTCATTCCAAATAACGACATTTATTATGTACATAATTATAAATGTACCATTGACAGCCTTTGAACAGCCATTTACAACTTATATTTAAAAACAAAAGTAAAATAATACTGGAAATATATAATTTATTTAGATGTAATATCCACTGATATGCACTATTCATTATGCCTTTCACATTTTGATTGGTTTAAAAACGTTATTTATATTACATCTAGCAAATAATTTAGAGAAAAATACAATTGACAAATACAGATTCTCAATATAAAACATAAAACCGACACATTTCTGCTGTGTCAACTTAAAATGTGGTTCAAATAATGGTTTAAAAGATAAAGAAAATATGGAATCTATACTCAACCTATGATTTGTAATTTGTAAATCCTATTGTTGGGGTGCCAATAGACCACAACTCTACAATTTAACTACAAATGATTTGGTGTTGTATATTTTATATCTCAGTGCTATAAGCCACACATTTGTGTCTGTAGGTGGCAGTACCGAGTTATGTTTGCCCCTTCTTCTCCAACAGGTCCGGGTCCTGTGAAAACACGGAGCGATGTGGCTTTTTGGTCTTTATCAATACAAACTTAGCTTCAGTATTGTTGTCATCGAATATTTCATTTGTTTAGTTAATATAATAGGAGTCTTTGTTGATTAAAGTTGTGTGTTGTGTTGTAAATTGCTTTATTCGTTGATTAATGTGCTGTATCCCTCCCTGTCCACACTGTGAATCCACTCCGGGTTTCCATGGCGCCGCGGCGGTTTCCAACTGTCAATTTGTTGCTGCGCGAGGAGAGGCGGGTAAAAATGTAAACACACATCCATCCTGATGGAGAGTTTGTGTTTGGTAGCTCCTTAGACTTTATTTTGTTTCTCTTTTGTCAAATGTAACACTGTAGAGCTGCTCTTCTGTAGCTTCTCTTCACTCTATTTATAATAGATATTACTGAAATACTACTCTACCGGCATTTTGGTATTGAACGCTAACCAAACAGCAGCTAACTCGTTAGCCAGCAAGCTAGCTAGCTAGGGTTACAGCTCAGCAGCTACTATAAAGTATTAATGTATTAGCGTAAGTTAACTGTTTCTACCTACCGTTTACTGATGCAATTTGATGGAGGACTACGACCAGTTTGTTCAGCATTGTTCCTCCCATCTGAGGAAGAGTGAGGAGGAAGACAACAAACCTCCACCTGCCTCCTCTCTCATCCGCTTCTATGGACGACCCATCCTTCCTCCCCTGGTACGAGTTTAGCTTTATTTCTGCTAAAATCCACATGATTCGGGGTTATAATCTCAGCTAACATGGCACAGACGCACTAAAACACGGTTGATATCCTTTGCTATTTACTGAAAATTGGGCAGGTTGTTCCAGCTTGTCAGATGTCAGGTTTGCTGCTTTGCCATGTTCTATATAATTGTTAAGTTGGTATATCTTTATCTGGGTTTTCAAATATTGATTGGACAAAAAAGCTATTTTCAGTTGTCACCTCATACAAAGCACTGGGAATTTGTGATGGACAGTTTTCATTGTTATTATTTTATAGACCAAACAAGTTGTATGAGGTGTTGTTTCACATGCATTAAATGAAATGCTCGTTGATACTATGGGTACTTGTAAATGTCTATAACTATGTAAATGTATCCTGTAAATATAATGTATGATGTCCTTTATTGTTTTATGTTTCATGTGGAACCTATATGCTGCAGGTCTCCCTTGAAAAAGAGATATATGATCTCAATGGGACCAATCTGGTTAAATAAAGGTTTGAAATGAAATGAAATGAAATGCATGACGCCTCATGTCTGCTTTCTGATGATAACAGCTCTCAGGGGGGCAGAGAGAGGAGATGCAGCGACACAGAGATGCAGAGCAGAAAGCTACTGTCCACAGGAAGATGAAAGATGATTTAAGAATGGCCTACGTGCAAACTATCCTCCACAGTGTTCAGGTAATATAAGTCCTTACTTTTCAGCTATCCTCATCCGCAAACTTCCTATATTTGTGTTTTGTCTAAACATACTTTCCTTTCCATGTTTTGCAGCTGAGGAAAACACCAACACTGCAGGAGTTGCTTCAAGAGTCGGAGATAAAACAAAAATCTTCACATTCCTGCAACACCACCGTTGGATCGGGGTTGCAGAGTAATTTATTCATAGGAACAAAGGAAAGCCTTTCACCCTCACTGCTGTCTGGAGAGAAAGACAAGGATGGTGTTTATTTTCCTCCATTGACATCAACTACATATAGTGCCTATTTTGCCTCTGATGTGACAACTCAGGAAAGTTACCAGAAAGAATGCCTTATTAAGCAACATAACAGCCAACAGGTTTCACAGCCAGGCCAACAGTCAGCGTCGTCCGGTTATGTGACCTTTGAGAATCTGGAGAACAGCTCCAATGTCTCTGAAAAGATTGATGACGAGAGAGAGAGCTTTGGCTCATCCGAGGGAGCTTATCGTAATAACATGGGTGGCCTTTTCCTCCAAAACACCTCAAACACAATCACCAAGATGCCAGATATTATCAGCCACCCTCCCATCGATGGAGAGGAATTAGAGAGGAGTGGACTAGAATCAGCAATTTGTAGTAATTTTACATTAATGAAAGACATGAGTTGCACCTCGCTCCAGGAGGATTCAATCATATGTGACCATTTACAAGATGGGACATCTAAAAGCAGTCATCAAGACAGCACAGAGAGTGGGGATAACTTTTCATTTTCTTCAGCTATTGGACTTGACAATGATCAGTGTTTGGACAGAATTGAGGGCACAGTCTCTTCATCAGAAAACAGTGGCATTTCAGACAATCTGGAGTTATCACAGATATTAAGCGCTCATCTCAATCCACAGACAGAGCTAGACATTCAGCACAACGGCATCAAATCCGAACAAGCAGGACACCATGGAGACGAAGCAAATCCAACTGAGGAGCCTTATCGCATGAGCCTCCAGGCCTTGCTGAAGAAATCTCAGGAGTACCGGCGGAGCCAGCGAATGCTTAGGAACCAAGCCAAAAACACTAAAATGCAGGAGAGGACCCAAGAACAGACGAAAGCAAGGGTGGAGGAGCAGAGCCTCTCTGATAAGGAGAATGACGAATTTCCTTATAAGGGGACTGTGACCGATGAGGGGAAGAAAATGAAGGAGAGGAGAGGCACTGTTATCTCGTCTGCGGACACGCCAGCACAGAAATCCTGGGGAAATGATACAGCGTTTGAGAGTGAGTTTTTTGGGGAAAAGCCAAGCTTTAATTTAGAAAGCACACATTTAAAAGGAGATGGACATACTAATGAAATTATAAGTGTTGCGAAGGAAACGGAAATCAAAAACAACAAGCTGAATATTTCACAAGATGTCATAGCAGAGCCTAACCAAATCAGTCCCGCCCCCCAGCAACAGCCCACGTCGACAGAAACCTCGCCCAATCAGGAAGTCAGTTACTTGACAACCTGTCCCAAAGCTTTTTATAATGGGTTGGGGAAATATAACACTATTCCAGCCCCTAATTTCTGTATGAGTCCTGTTAAAAGCAAAAGCATTATCCAAGATGGAGAAGCTCTCAATGGGGCGGAGACCTCAGAGAGGAACGTTTTAGTCAATTCTGGTTTGAATGAAAGCCACAAGGTTCAAGACCTGGGAGCTAAAAACAGTCCCACATTAGTTCCATTCACTGTGAACATCACGGATGAAGGTCGTGTCACAAACGTTTCAGCCAAGAGCTCACAGCACATAGATCAGCTCGAGTACGACCTGTCCAGCCTGAAAGTACTGATCTCAGATCTGGCGTCCACACTGTCAGAAAACTTGGAAAGCCCTGGCCTAACTGACAGCAACACGCGAAACGAGTTCAGTTTTAACAAACTAAGGCATGACGAAGAGGTGGAGCAAGACCAAAGACTCGGAGAACAACCGCTATCATTAGACAATTTAAATCACGTGATTGAAGATACTGGATCTGAGCCATGCATCAGTGACACTAATGATGTTCTGGCAAAAGAAGCTGTTAATGTTAGCGAACTCAGGCTATCCAAAACCTTAGCTACAGAGAGAAGAAAGGACAAAGAAACATGTCAAGAAGCACTTAAAAACAGTCATGGACAGCACGGTGGCAACAGAAAGCCCACAGCTAAATGCATCCTCTCTGTAACGCAGCGGATGCGCATCCCCGACGTCTTCAGAAATGTTCCGTCCGCAACGACGTCTTCACGTAACGTCTCCGTGCTTTCGGATTCCAGTAACCTACCGGCGGAGAGAAAGAACGAGGCGACTGCAGAAGGTTACGATTCCCGCTCACCCTCTCTCAACCAGTCGTATGACGTAGACGCACCGTCTTGCTTGTGGCTCCACGAATCGTCAGGGTCCGACAAAAGTCATCTCTTTCAGGAGAAAAGTCTGACCCCAGAGAGTGGAGGTGAAGGTCAGGACGGAGGATCCAAGGTCAAACGGAGGCTGCTCATGCAAATGACAGAAGAGACAAGGGAGAGGAGTGCAAAGGCCAGCAGGGTGGACGGCTCTGTGATCAGACCGAACATCAGCAGTCCCCGAGGTGAGACTGGTGGGCTGTTATTGCATGTGTTGGGATTAAGGTGTATAGGAAAAATAAAACAGTGTTACATACAAGACTCCATAACGAGACATAATAATAAGAACAGCATTAAGGCTACAACTTATATTCATTTCATTTTTAGCCATTTAGCAATTCATCTTTTTTTTTTTGGTCTATTAAATGTAAGAAAAAAGGTCCATCCCAGTTTATCGAAGTCCAAGGTGCTTTTCTGTCAGTCCAAAACCCAGAGATTTATTTTAAATATGACACTAAATGGAGGAAAGCGGAATAATCTTCATCACTAAAAACCGAAAAATTACTTGAAACATTATTCGATTATCAAAATAGTTGGCGATAATATTTCCGAATGAATGTCTCAAGCTGTGGAATTTTTTAAGTTAATATTGTTTTAATCCACATTATATAATGAGTCAATTGTTGTGTTCTTTGTTGTAGAAGTTCTTCAGGTAAAGTATACAGTACAGCCCTCTTGTATAGGACCATTTTTTTAAATATGTCACAAAAACATAGATTAATGAATATAAATAGAATCAGATCAGAACCCAGCATACTCCTGTCACTCAACTTTTGGCTTTGTCAACATTTATTTACACATTATGTGACCCACATATTACAGATGTGCTGCCTCCAGCTGCAGTGCGCTCATTCGAAGGCCGTGGCGGTCAGGAAGCGGAGCAGGAGCAGCTGAAACAGGCCCACACTGCTCAGGTCCGAGCGCTGCAGCAGGAGCACCGCAGACAGCAGGAAGAACTGATGCAGGTCAGAGATGAACCATTGATAGAATTAGGGGACTGCTGTTCATACATGCTGAGCAATGTGATGTCCATAAATGAATGTGCGACATCATTCATTGTAAAGTCCCCCAACAAAAACACAATTTGCTTCCGTTTGCTAAATTGAAGGTGCTCAGCCGTTAGAGGAATGTAATAACCAAGTTTATAGCGGTGAAGGCTGTGCAGGGAGAGATGACAGGAAATGAAAAATAAGAAGAGAAGCAACAAAGGTCCCCAGCTGAAGTTGAATTGAAAACGTTGCGTTTTCAGGGATTAAAACGTTGGCGTCATAATCCCTAAACTAAAGGGGACCCCCATGGTATTAATTGACACAATTCTCAAATATAGAACATTTCAAGCTGTGTCCTTTTAAAATGTCTCTCTACTTGTCCTGCAAGTGTGTCCCCTCTAGTGAGCCTCAAAGGGAACATACAGGAAAAAACAACACCTTTATTATAACTCAAACAGTCATATTGATATTTCCCCCATCCCATTGGCCCGCTTCTTGCACTCCATTGCATCACCTATTGCTGTACAGATACAGCGCTACGTAATTCCCGTAAAGGCAGCTATAATTCACTTGAATGGTTTCCGACTCCACCCAAAGTCACCTATCAAAGGAGAATAGGCTCTGAGAGTATCTAACCAATTCACTAAGCTGTGATATAACATTGACCCTAAATGTTCTTTTGAAACTAGAAGCAGCCCTTTGAAAGGCTCTGGCACCGGTCCACATGTGGGCACACACACACACACACACACACACACACACACACACACACACACACACACACATGTACGGTCGCCCTACCTGTTAGAGGGTGCTTGTGCAGCAGAGCGGGGTCGTGGGCAGACTACAGACATCTGCTCATTACAAGAGACCTTCAGACTCTCCCCAGTAAAAAAAACACACAGGGATTCTACCATAAATGTTTCATTACATCCCTAAGAGGCAAGCTGGCATAGTCGCCAGTTTCTCTACGTGTGTGAGTGTGTGTGCGCACATGCAAGTACTTCAAGGACGCCTGCTGTTCTCTGGCTGCCAGTTCTTGTTTCTTCAGCTTGTGTCTGTATTTGTTCTTGGCCCAGTGTCCTTGCCCTATTAATCACAGTCTCTTGTTTAATGTATGTCTCCTTAACAACAATATAATTAACATAAGCTGTTTAATGAAAAAAAAAATACATATTATTTTGCCTCCCCTCTTTCCTTCCATCATTTGTGATGGGATGAGAGAGCGAGCTGGCTTGACTGGGAGGGAGGAGGGGATCGAGGGAATTGACACAGAAAGGGAAAGGATCATTTGTTTAATTCATGAGCGTCTTTGTGTAAGTGCCAGATCGTCCCGTCGAGTGCCTCCACTAATGGTCCCTTCCCCTTCTCTTCTTTTTTTTTTTTTCCCACTTTCCTCGCTACCCTCTTTGTTTTGTCTCAAACCTCCTTCAACGTCGTTTTTACTCTCTGGCTTTATTAATTTCCTCCATCTCTCCTGTCTCATCATCCTCTTCATCCCTCTCCTCCTCCTCCTCCCCTGCCCCCTCTCTCATCTCATCCCTCTTGCCTCTGTGCCCCATCTCCCCCCTTCTGTCTCTTTCTCTCCACCCTCAATTAATTTCTTCCTCCTGCCTCATTTGCTGTCCTTTCCAATTCAATATTTCCCAACCTTGCGTGCGTGTCTGCACACACACACACTCATGTCTCTGTGTCTGTCTCTCAGGCGTTGGCAGAGCGCTACCGTCTCCTCCAGAGCGTGTCCTTCCCTTGCTCCATGTCAAGCTCACGTCCCGGGGACACGGCGACCTTTTCTCTCCTCTCTCAGGTAACACCACCACATTTGTTGACTGTCAGTGAAGCGAAGAGCTTGCTCCCGCTTATCCTTCTACCCACAATATTTTTTATTCATCACCAGTTAGCCGACTCGCTCAGTGGAAACAAATAGTCCCCCCTGGATGTCTTAATCCTTATCACTATCCCCTCTCATCTGTTACCGCTCTCATGTGTATTCAAGTTTCACTATAGTTGTTCAACAAACATCTTCAGAATCAACAAGTGAGTGGCACATTATTATTCTGCTTATTATCCAGCTTATTATTCCCTATTACAATCATGAGCTGCGAGTCCACTTACGTTGATGCGCTAAACAGATGCCAAGCAAAAGACCTTGAGAATCTGCGCGGGAAATTAATTGGTTGTCATTGATGGAATTAGCATTCTCCTCTCTCGTCCCCTCTGGTCCTCATTATTCACCCCCCTCATCACTCAGTTCTCTCCTCTTCCTCAGCCCTGCTGCAGCCTGCTGTCGGAGCGCTGCCGCCCCCTGCTGGCAGCCGCTGTGAAAGGTTTCCTAACTCGCAGGATGCTGAGGACGGAGAGGGTGGCGCAGCTGGGGCGCACCGTCAGGGTGAGTAGAGACACGTCTGTCTCATAGAATGAAACTTGTTTAGTTCCCTTTTATACTACAACTACATTGTATCTCAGAAGTGTACGTTCTACTCTCATACTTTTATCTTACAGCTTTACTTGCACTTCCAAATGTTGAATGTTTGTGATAAACTGAAAGTATTGCTCTTATGTGTTTTTAAAAGGTTTTCCTAGCTAAATAAACTATTTAAAAAGCCTCCTGGATTCGCTGGGAAATGCATCATCACAGCTGTTCTTCTGAAACAATGTAACATGTTTACCTTTTATTGATACATGGTTATGAAGGACAGAGAAACAACCCTATGATGATGATAGAATAAGATGCATTGCTGTAGATTAAACCAACACTATATAAAGGAGTTGTAATTTGGCACAGCCTTCAAAATGTAGAGCTGTAAAATGAAATATACTCATTACTGCAGCAGTAAATTACTTGTTGAAAAACATCATATATAAAAGTAAAACACTGACATGGAACATTACTGCTCAGTATATTTTGTTATATTTTAATAAGTATATTTTCTGATTCATACTTAAAGGGGACCTATCATGCAAAATGCACTTTTGTACGTCTTTTATACATGAATGTGTGTCCCCGGTGTTCCAGGGAACTCACCAAGTGTCAGAAAACACAAGATGGTGCTGTTCTCACTGAATCTGCCCTTGCAAAAACAGAGCTAAAAAATGTCAAATTGAGCAAAATGAGGCATGGCTAAAATGCATGATCTGTTTGGTATTTTGAAAAAAAAAAAGTATAAATATGCCTTATATAGGTATGGTCCTACACTATATTATTCAAATATAGCATGAGAGGTCCACTTTAAGGTGGAATTTGAATATAGAACTGTGACATGAAGTGGAGTATTGATCTTTTCCTTAAGTGATCTAAATACTGTGTGTGTGTGTGTGTGTGTGTGTGTGTGTGTGTGTGTGTGTGTGTGTGTGTGTGTGTGTGTGTGTGTGTGTGTGTGTGTGTGTGTGTGTGTGGTGTGTGTGTGTGTGTGTGTGTGTGTGTGTGTGTGTGTGTGTGTGTGTGTGTGTGTGTGTGTGTGTGTGTGTGTGTGTGTGTGTGTGTGTGTGTGTGTGTGTGTGTGTGTGTGTGTGTGTGTGTGTGTGTGTGTGTGTGTGTTCATCCAGGACACACACCAGTTCCTGCAGGCCCTCCAGCAGCCGAGCCCGAGCAGCAGACAGGACGTTTTATTGCAGGAGAGAGTCACTCTGCAGGTATCAAAGCTCACACGTGTTGTAAACATCTGTTAACCTTTCGTCCTCTTCTCTGCTACACTGCCAACTGAGCTGTTCTTCCCCCCATTAGCAGTTTACCACAACAGATACCATGATGACACGCATTCATTCAGGCCGCCGTCTGCTCTGTAATTGTTTCCCCCTCCAGCTGCGCGCCGCACGTTACGAGGTCCATGACATATTCTTCAGCCTGTCAGCCGGGGAGAGGATGCAGCTGATTGGCTGGGACAGAGAGCTGGCCAGAGAGAGGGAGCTTAGGCGGCAGGTAACACTTTCTCAATGTGTGAGCTGAACAAATCACACACATTGGATATGTGTGTGTTGGTTTCTCAATACAGATAGCTGAAGCAATTACAAGCAATGCCAAAGAAAGACACTAGCGTAGTAGATTGTCATTGTCAAAACCTAAAGAGGCACTATTATACTTTTTGGGTTATCCCGTTCCTGTAGTGTCTTATATAGGTTTGTTGTGCATGTAAGTAGTAGGCAAAGAAGTCTAAAATATTCAATCTACTCTTTTCTATTCACACATTTGAGTATTGTAACATTCCTACTGAGTGGTGAGGAGACTCGTGTGTGTGGTGTGTGTGGTGTGTGTGTGTGTGTGGTGTGGTGGTGTGTGTGTGTGTGTGTGTGTGTGTGTGTGTGTGTGTGTGTGTGTGTGTGTGTGTGTGTGTGTGTGTGTGTGTGTGTGTGTGTGTGTGTGTGTGTGTGTGTGTGTGTGGGTGTGTGTTGTGTGTGTGTGTGTTGTGTGTGTGTGTGTGTGTGTGTGTGTGTGTGTGTGTTGTATAGAGTGGCCATCCCAGAGGAAGGAGTTCTCTCTCCGTTGCCACACAGAAATCACTGGAGAGGAAGAGAGGAATGATGTGAGTTTCTGTTTTCTTTAGATCTCTGTTTATCTCACATTTGTTTGTGTGTGCGTACATTTATAAGGACACATGTACAGACAGTTATTTATAATACAGTCACACAGGATAAAGGAATCGTTGTGCATCAGGCATCTCTGAACATTAGTTGCTGCATCTGATTAAAACAAGTCCACCTACTGAAAGCATTCAAAATCTAGACTTTAGTTGATTTTTTTATGCAATCACTCAAGTTTCAAAGTTCCCAGTAATGTTGCAGCCAGCACTTCTCAGCTTAAACATTTTAATTAATTGCATTTTTTGCACTACAGGCTTTTTTTTAACAAGCAGAGGCATCTCTTTTTCCTGCAGGATCCAGAAAAAGGCAGCAGAAAGGCACAAGGGAGTGGTGACGATGAGTGGACACTGTAGTGGGCTCTCTGCTGAGCAGCCGCCGGAGACCAGGCGAGGACAGTTCAGAGCCAACCCTCAGAGGGTCCCCAAGAGCACTCGCTCCTCCAGACCCCGGTGAAACCGCTTAATTGGCCCCAGTGTGGACTCCTAATAAGGCCTCTAGCGATTACATAAATATTGTAAATCTAACAATTTGAGAGGAATCCAAATTCAACACAAAGCGATGCCTGTTGCTGACGAATATATTATTGCTTTTTCTTATCTGTGATGTGAAATTTCATCCACTTCAAAACCAGGGTATAATACAGTGCTGACAGCCTTCAGTTTGGGTTAAACATCAGCTGCTCTGTCAGTAACACAAACTCTTCATCAGGTCTGCTTCCAGTTCTTCTCTCCAATATAAGTGTACTAAAGCTGCAGATAAGTAAGTGGGACAAGTGTTGAGTTGGCAAAAAGAAAACACTTCCCAACCTTAAGCAGAAAAGCGCTGACCAGAAAGATGCTGTTTATGAATTGCTGCAGACATTATGTAATGTCCTAGCAGGAAGATTGCAGGTGTAATGAATAACTTTAACAGATAGATATTTCTGTAAGCCAGTGGTTTCAAACCTGGGGGCCGCAGCAACAATATATTCAGTATATGCAACACAAATTACAGTTTGTTTTTAGACTTCTTTGTGAATTACTGGAGGATCTGACCTGCTACTGCTTCTAAAGCTTCACAAATAAATAGGAAGGATCACTAATTGGCTATAAGTAGAAAAGAAGAATGCAATAGCCCTGAGCGAGCAAACACGACACCAGGATTCAGGAACTAAAGCTCCTAACTGGAATGCAGCCAAGACTAAAGTTATTCATTACACATCAAAATGTCTCGTATGAAAAAGGAGCTTTTAATCAGGTTATAACTCAGCTGTGTTTGCAGTGCTTTTCCAGTTGTCCAATGGTTCTCTGCTTTGAAGGGTGGATTTGAACATTGAATTATTTATTCCCCTCAAATGTTTGTGCCTAGTTTACCAAAAACAGACAATCTCCCCATATCAAACCCTCTTTGTGTGATGTGAACATTTTTTTTATCGGACAGTGTGCTCACAATGCTAATATGCAGCTCCAGAGCTTGGTGTTACTGCTTTCTACTGTTACTACTTGAATAGTGTATTACTCCCATGTGTTGCCTTAAATATTTTCCCTAGTTTATTGGGATTACGTCTGCCAAAATACCTTTGTAAACCTTTGCATCATCCTTTTGTATCCTTAGAGACCTGTTGGACCTGTTTTATATGTTATTTATTTTTAATTGTTTAGTAATAAATGTTTCTTACCACTAAAAAGTTGCTCTGAAGTTTGTGTTTATTCTAAAGGCTTGCATAAGCACCAATCTAAATAAATGTTCAGTGAGTTTTTCTCCTCTTACTACTTCTTTGGTAACATGGTACTTTTTATATATAACATGTCCCCAAATACCAAATATACTGTAGTATAAACTGTCAATGCTGCAAAGTCATACCTCCACTGTATGATTCTATCCCACATTGAATACTGTTTTACAAACTGGTCGTTTGCTTGTGCCACAAACCTGAAACCCATAGAACAGCTGTACAAGAGAGCTATCAAGGTGTGACAGAAAGCCAAATTCATACCACCATTGTACCATCCTTGAAAAACACAATGTCTTGAGCTTTGACAATTTTAAGTCTTTTAAAAGTATGTGTTTTATTTATAAATGTTTACATGGACTGGCCCCCCCTCCCCTAGGGGAATTCATCCACAAAAGACACACTGGACACTGCACTAGGTCAGAAACCAGAGTAGACTGTGAAGTCCACCGCAGACAGACCACTTTTGGACAAAATGTCCTCTCCATTAAAGGCAGCTCTTTCTGGAATAGCCTCCCAACTGAGATACGGGATTGTCCCACTCTCAATAGTTTTAAAGGACAACTCAAAGAATGGTTGAGAAACAAACAGACGTGCAATCACCGCTAAATGCGCTTTAACACAGGGGTATCTCTTCACTTTATGTAGCTCTTTTATCTTATCTTGCACTTTATATATCGTAGCTGCTACATTGTTCTGCCATGTGGTAAATGCTTGTATGCTGCTAATGCTCTTTCTGCATATCATGTATTTATTTTTGCCATGTATATAACTGTCATGTTCATAAATGTTGTATGTGACGGGACTACGGATGGAAATTAGCTCAAAGCAAAAATTCGGCTCATTTACATTTGAAAGCATTATTTTGTTTAAAGTGTTCATCAATGTGCATTGTCCCGGTTCAAATAAACGATTAAATGAAATAAAATAAGAACATTGCTATATCACAGAAATGGAGCACAATCAAGCACTTAGTATCTACGAACTCACCACAAGTTAAATATCAAAATGATGCACACATACTTTATGTAGTGTAAGAAAGACTCACCCCGCCCTCAACAACAAAAGTCCTGATTGTGGACTAAATGGGGTGTTTAATTTGATTTACAAAATGTTATGTATTCTGTAAGATTACTGCCCAAATAATACCCTGTACCATATTTTAAGACTTAAAAACACTTAGAACAAATGTGGAATTTTTGCTTTTCAAAAATAGTGCTTGGGCCATAGACTGTAAAAGGCTTTACCATGGGTTTTACCCCCAATACAGCCCCCGGGCAGCAGAGGGCGCTGCTGGCAGTTTGCTCCCCTCTAAACGGACAACATCCGGCCCGCTGGTATGTGGTCGCTGTGCGCTGTGTTTTGAATAGATAGCCACCGCTCAGCTGATTTAAAACGGGATGGAAGAGGAGGCAGACACCGGTGTTCCCTCGCGGGTCGAGAGGAAGGCTTTGCAAAAGGCAAAAATACTTCAGAGAGAAACCGAAAGGAAGATTTTCAGACTGGTAAGAAACATTTAGAGCCTTTTCCTGTAGCAGGCTGTATCGAACTAGATGGCTAAAGCAGCGTTTATTATCTCTGTGCATACAGTTGGTGTGAGTCTGACCAGGTTTCTCTGTCTTTCTGTTGCCTGAAGGTGGGAAAAGCCCTGAAGAAACCTGAGAGTGAGCGGTCCGAGGAGGAGGCTGCTGTGTTACTGCTACACAGAGGAACTGTAGAGGAGCTCTGCAAGAGACAAGTCCGCAGAAATGGGCTGAAGAGGAAGCAGGAGGAGGTGAGACTGCCAGGCCCAGCAAGTGTTATCTTTCAAGCTAACTGGCTAGGTGATATGTTACCTGTAGCTAATGGGTTATAATCAGTGAAGGAACCAAGACTGGTTTACCTTGACAAAATGGGTTTCCCAGGTCTAGTTAATAACAAAAGAAAACTGTGGGTCCCCAGGTTTTCCCCACAAAACCAAAATTATTAACGAACCCATTTATTTACACAATAATAAACTGGATAAAGGATAACAAAGGGTTCCCTCGAATGCATGGTATTTAAGGAAAATGATATACAGGGCCCACCTTTTCAATGCATATCAATCCTGTTTTAGGACTAACAGGGGTCTAGGAGTCTTGGGAAGTTGCATCTTGCAAATAAATAATGTCATTTTTGATTCCATATGTATTTGGGTTTGGTATGAGCAAAGACAATAAAGGGCACACGTCCTTATCCAAATATCTGAGCGAGTTTGCACGAAAAAATGCTTGATTTAACAGATGTTTGTGGTTGTTATCCTAAAAGATCTTGTTTTACTGTACTACGTGCAGGTGTTTGATGAGGCTGATGAGCTGAGGAGTAAAGTGAGACAGCTCGCTGCGGCAGTGAAGCAAGCAAAGCACCTGGTGGTATACACTGGAGCCGGCATCAGTACTGTATGCTAATCTCAGCATCTTTTAGTTGACTTAACCCTTTTGAAACTTATCCGGCACTGACAATGTATTTTCTTTCAGGCAGCTTCTATCCCAGACTACAGGGGGCCTAATGGAGTGTGGACACTGCTGCAGAAAGGACGGTCAATCAGGTGAGATATGTAGCATATCAGTGTATATGCTGTTAGCTGTGTTTTCCTTTGAGGTGAATTGGACTGATTTTATTGTTTTTTGTTTCTCTTACAGTTCGTCTGACCTGAGTAAAGCTGAGCCGACCCTCACACACATGTGCGTTAGGATGCTACATAAGGAAAAGCTGGTATGTTAGACTCAGATAAACAACTTATTTCACAAATCATTTTGTTATGCATGCTTGGTATTTACACTGTGTTTTCTTTAGTTACAGCATGTTGTTTCTCAGAACTGTGACGGGCTTCACTTGCGTAGCGGGCTACCCAGACATGCCCTGTCTGAGCTTCATGGAAACATGTTTATTGAGGTGAGACCCACTCATTGTGAGTATTTCTTTTTTTAGTCTCTGACTCACACACACAGCCTCTTATTATTCTTTCTAATCAGTTCTAAATGCAACATTCCCACCGCCTGAAAAGATATGGTCCAGAATTTTTTTTTAACATAATTTGCAGCGCTGCCTCCAAAAGCTAACAACTTAAAAAGACCAAGTCTTATAAAGTCTAATGGGGCGGTTTTGGCGCAGTGGGCTAGAGTGTTGATCATCAGATCAAGGGGCGTTGAGGAAAACCAGTTCGAAACCCGCCACTGCGCCAGGCCGTTGTGTCCTTGAGCAAGACACTTCACCCTAATTTGCTCCTGTGGGTATTGTCCACAGTAATAACTGTTACATGTCTAATATGTGTAATTGTAAAGCGCTTTGAGTGCCTTGAAAAGCGCTTTAATAAAAATGTAATGAATTATTATTATTATTATTATCATTATGAATCCATTTCTGATCCTCTGTTGGACCTAGGTGTGTACATCCTGTAGCCCGGTCAAGGAGTATGTGCGTTTATTTGACGTGACGGAGCGAACATCCCTGCACCGCCACATGACAGGCCGCTGGTGCAGCCACTGTGGAAGTGAACTCAGGGACACCATTGTGCATTTTGGGGAGCGAGGAACCCTGGAGCAGCCTCTCAACTGGAAGGGAGCGGCAGAGGCTGCAGAGACGGCCGATGTTATCCTCTGCTTAGGCACCAGTCTAAAGGTAAGGTTCAATAAACAAGTTTGCATTTGGTGATCTGAAAAGGTTGTTTCGTTGCTATTTCTTAGTCTTGTTTTAATCAGGTTATTATTAACATCATGGAAGTGCATTCACTTGTAGCATCCTTCATTCTGTGGCACCCTGTTTCTTGCTCTTCAAGGTGCTGAAGAAATACGCTTGTCTGTGGTGCATGAACAAACCAGCAAGCAAAAGGCCAAAACTATACATTGTCAACCTCCAGGTACAATTTTGTTTTTACATTTCAGGTCATAAGGATGTAAATGAACGTCTGGCTTCTCTGATACTGATTATGTGGCTCTGCTTTTTGACCCAGTGGACACCAAAAGATGATCTGGCTGCACTGAAAATGAATGGCAAGTGTGATGATGTCATGAGGCTCCTGATGGAGGAACTGAACATCCAGGTGCCAGGGTACGACAGGTAAGGATCTTCAAAGGGTTTGACTAATTTGAAATGCATTATTCAGGCTTTACCATACTTACATTTTTGAATATTTCCACTATATACACAGAAATAGAAAGATAAGTCCAACTTTTTAACCCAAACTTGGTTTTTCTCATCAGGGCGAAGGACCCCGTCTTCAGTCTAGCTGTACCTCTGCGGCAGGAAGAGGTGGACAGCCATACTCGTGAGGTCATCGCTCGTCTTGATGTGCAGGAGGACTGCGTACCTGACTCTGGAGAGCAGGCAGAAGAAGCCACAGCTGTGCAGGGCGGCTGGTTCGGTCGAGGCTATGGCAAGGGAAGGAGGAAGAAGAAGAAAAAAGCTGCATGATCAAGCAGACTTTAAAGAAGCATACGATGTAGTGAAGTATGCCAAGTGATCAATCACAAAGAGGGATTACGTTTCATACCCATACTGAGTAGAAGTTGGTCTAGGGTGCTGTTTGGCCCTTTTTGCTGAGTTGGTTTCTAGCCACAGGCGGTGTGTGTTAAGGGAAACTTAAGAACATTTTGAAAATGGCACTTTGCACCAAACATTTATTATTTTATACCAAATACAGAGTAAAAGTAGCTTGAGTTTATGCAACATAATGTAGATTTGGTATTTTGGCCATTTGGAGTGCAATGCAACAAGTGTGACAGTTGTGAGATTTTAATGAAAATATATCAAAAGGTCCAAAGAGAGTTTTGAAACCACTCCTGCAGCATTAGGAATGTTTATGTGTACGAGTATGTCACAAACACTTTAATGACATAATGTTTTTACATCCTTTGAAGCCAACTGGTGTAGGGCTGAACGGTTAATCGATTTTAAATCGAAATCGCGATTTCAAATGATGCAATTATCAAATTGCAAAGCCTGCGATATTTTTTTTTTTTTTTTTAAAGAAAATCGCAATTAGATTATTTCCCAAAATCGTGCAGCCCTAAACTGGTGGCGAATTATCCTCATAACATCATGTTTTTTGTGCCATTCATCAACCTTACTGTAATATGTGTTTACCAAGTTGTTTGGTTTGAGCACAAGCTAGACGTAAATCATGAGTAAAGGTACCTTTCAGTGTTTATAAGTGGAAAATGCCAATACAACATCAGTAGCGTTCAAATGGCCAATTATTGATTGCGGTGCTGCAACAGCTTTTACTGAGAAGAGATTTATAAGGTTTTCTACATGTATCACTTGAGTAAAATATATTTTTTTCTAGTATTTTTCAGATGTTTAAAGTGTGCATTGTTGAATTTACTTTTTATGAGTTTGTTTTCTATTGTTTTAAAGGTATTTTTGTTAACTTAACTATTTCCTGTTCTAACAGTCACCTCTCATTCTGCTGTCATTCATCCTCAAGTTTGCAGCTACTACTGCGCCTGGTTGAAGATGTAGAAATGGCCTATGTTTACATTTTTATGCAGACACTTTAACAAAAATGTTAAAAGGAAAGCTTTTTGTTAAATGTATACCTTTGATTACCTGTTAGTTTGTATCATGTCAAGTTTTTGTTTACTTGAGTCATTGTAAACATCCAAATATGTATCTCTTAATTTGTCTCCATCCATGGAGATCCAGTAGTAATTATGTCATCCTGTACAGTTTAGTGTCAGAGGTTATTAAAGACTGGCCTTAACACAATTGATAATGATTTATTAATTCATTAATATCTTGGTCTTTAGATCTGACTTGGCAGTACTGTAGCTTAACCTTGACCTTTATTATCTTATTTGTGCAAGTTGATGGTTTTGCCTGTTTGTTTTTTGTATTAACTTTTGTTCAACTTATTTAATAAAACATTTTCTGTTTATCTCTTAAATGGAAAACACTAACCTAACTCTTATCTAAATCTATTCAGCATAATACACTGTCAAATGAAAATATTATGCCTTTGTGTTAAGGATGACTGACTGTAATAAGTAAGTGGTGGAAGAAGTATGAAACAGTTGAAGAAGCAGGACCCCCTCTCTTTATAATACTCTATCACCAATGAAATGATGTGTTCAAGATTCCCCAGCTCGCAACAGAAATTATTTAACCAACACTTTTTTGAGTATTATCAGCAAAATGCACTCGAAAGTCCTCTTGCAGAACAATTGACTGAGTCCTTTAAAAAAATGTGTATTAACAGGTCAACATGTCTTAAAACAATTGTGTGTTTTGTTTGTAGGATGTTGATTTGAAAAGATAACCATAACTCGTTTTCCTTTCGGAGCAAATGAAAGCAACACTTGTGGAAAAGCACAGTGGCCGAGTACTTAGTCACATTCCTCTGCTGGTAGCACTTTGTTTATAGGTTGTAGCTGATCACGTGATAGGAGGGATTATGCAATCAGCACCTCAGCGCGAGTGGCTCGGTCCGACGTGACGTACCGATGATTTCGTGTTGGAGGCGTTGGCCGGTGTCAATGTGTGCTCCGCAGAAGAAGAACACCGTCCTCTGAAAGAATCCGAGTAACAGGAGTGAACTACTTTGAAACTTAACCTTTCTTTTGTTTTTATTCGTACTACCACTACGTTATTTGAAGCTATCAAAATGATAAAGAACGGGCACCACGTCGAGGAGGAGCAGCGGGAGGAGGACTCTGTTTGCGGTACACCGGGTGGCTCTGCGTGCAGCCCGGAGAAAAGGAAGCGCGTCGTCCGGTTATGGTGTGACGGCTGGTGAGTCCCGGTGCCCGCCGCTGACATCATGTCGGTGCTGCTTTATTTAACTCTGTCCCGCAGTTTGTAGTCCTATACGCAGTTATTTTTGCAACACAGTGGTGGGTTGGCATGCTAATGCTAGCTAGCTAACGATACATACATTAGCAGATCGTTACGTAGCAACAGGAAGTTTACCTAGTTCATCATTCATACATATCTAACTAATCATAGCAAATGTTACTTTATCTTACAATTGTATTTTTTCATTAAAAAAATGTTTATCTTTAATAGCAGCACAACCTAAAACTAATACATCAGGCATCACATGTTTTCTTACATGTTAATACACCAGCTGTTAGCATCTGTTAGCAGTTCCTATGGTACAGTTATGGGCGAGGTCCTCTCAGTCCACTGCCTCATAGTAAGGCTGAGGTTATAAACACATTCTTAAATGTGTGAAACTAAACCCAGACGAAATGGACACTAAAGGTTATTTAAAGGTTAGAAATGACCTAAAGTTGAAAACGTGTTATGTTGCAGCATACTAGTCTTAAACCCACCACAATGACTTACAGCTGACCCAGAGAAAAATGTATGTATAAAGCAGTCATACCCTCTCGTCTCATATTCTGCATGAAATCCTGCTGTTTACACCTCCAAGGTTGCCTAAAAAAAGAGTCTTGGCAGGGATGAATGTTTGATGCCTTTTGATGCTGGGTAATAACCTAAAAATAGGTGCAAAATGGAGATGACTCAAGGGCATTTATTTTGTCTTCCGTGAGTAGGTTGGTTGTGACACTCAAATAATTAGTCAGACATCAATATCTGGTTATTGTCATTGTCATTGCTTAAGTCAGGAGTGTGCACGCACTTCTAAAATAAAGAGGAGAGCTTCTGCACCTAAAGTAAACAGACCATGAAAGGAACACAGTGCAGGAGTCCACTTATGAATACACCTAGCTGTTATAGTTTAATATAGGTGTAATACACAAGTGGACCTTAGAGCCCTGCAGTGAGTAAATTATGTATTGTTATTTTAAACTCTCGCTCACCAACCATGATCCTCACGTGATGAAACTGCAGCCAAGGAGACAACGGAATCCAAATGCGCAACACATAAATCCTCTCCTGGACTCACTCCCTGCTCATAGAAGTGGCCTATAACACGGCCTATCTCATGTGGAGGTTATAAATAACTAGCATAGTGAACAACATGTTGTCCAGTGTGATGCTAAAGTGCCATGTTGTTGTGGTAGATAGGGGTTCCCTCTTCCTGGGGGATTCAAAGGGCTTGTGTTTAGGCAATTCATTTAGCAGCAGTTTAGTTTAATTGTCAAAAAAAAATGATAAACACCCAGCAGACCGTAATAGTTATTGGTTTCAGGACAACCACAGAGACATACTGTCAAAAAGAGCACCTGCTAAAATAGTCTAATAACAACTGCTTTCACTTACAGTATTGACAAAAAGGTGGGTCAAGAATACATTGTAGGTTATTGTTTTGATAACTATTACCATGTTACAAATATGCATATTGGCAGCTATAAAACACATTCAGCCCATTAATCACAGAGTACACCTGGAAAAGTAGGCTTCACCTTTATTTATTCACTTTGTCTCTCACTAAAACTGTCACTCACAGATGTTGAAAACAGCAAGCCGTGTTCTGCATATACATCCTCTAAAGTCCATCTACAGCGAGGAGACAGTGTCTAACTGATCCTGACTAGGTGAGGTGCAGGAAGTAAGGGGATTATCCTTAAGTGTGTTCAGACTAGCAGCTTGTGCTAATAACATTATAGAGGAGAGGTCTACCCACAGGAGTTTGTTATTGAACTGGGCAGTATTTTGAAATAAGTGTTTTGAAAATGTAGGAATGTCAAGCTGCAGGGTGCTCAACTGAACCACATGTTCATCAAAACCTAAAGAAACATTAAAAGAGCTGAGCAACATCCTAATCATCTAGGAATATTACTCTTTAAGACTTCAAATATGTTGAAATAAGGGAGAAGAAGTTCTTACGTCCTCAAAAAAAATTCAACCATTAACTGTAAAAGTTATATAATAGCAGAAAACAAATAAATATTGGCACACTGTACGAAGCGTCTAATCATTGGCTTTCTCACAGATAAACTAGAGAATGTTTTCAGAGCAAAGGCCACACGCACGCTTCCCTCTACTGTGCAAGTTCACCATGAAGATTCTAGATTAAAATACAGATAAGATCAAGTTAAAAGACAGAGCCAGAAGAGTAGGCCAGTCAAAGCCCTCATGCAAATGTAAAATAGGGAGGCTGTGGCTCAGTGGGTAGTGTGCTGGACTTCAAATCAGGGGGTAGCAAGTTCGAGTCCCACTGCAGTCGCTTTGGATAAAAGCGTCTAACAAATGACATGTAATGTAATGTAAAAGGCAATGGTGCTGGAGAAAGCTGTAGCTGGGGGCTGTTCATTGTTAAGGCCATGTCCCTTATTGTTGTATGTGTTTATCTGTTTGTTTTGATTCAGTTTGTCCCTCTGTTCTTTGAGCGCAGACAGCGTGTGTTGTTATCTGTGACATTGCTCTTCTGTCTGTCTCCACAGTTATGACATGGTTCACTACGGACACTCCAACCAGCTGCGGCAGGCCAAAGCCATGGGAGACTACCTCATAGTCGGAGTGCACACAGATGGTAAGTCTGTCACACACATGCACACATTCTGACATGGATATCTCTGTTAAAGGAGCCCTATTGTGCTTTTGGGGGTTTTCCCTTTCCTGTAGTGATATATAGGTTCTTGTCCATGTAAATGGACTGCAAAGGCTAAAATCCCAAAGTTCCCTCCAGAGGGAGTTTCTCTCCCACACACTCCCGTCCCCCCCTTTCTTAAATGCCTCCTTTGTTTACTTCTGTAACATAATGACATCACAATGTACCACTTGAGCTTCTATTGGCTAGCACTCCAACACACTGTAAATGATAGGTTAAGGGACATCTCTAAGCTGTTGACTAATCACAACAGAGCCGGCCAGCTAGCCAATCAGAGCAGACTGGGCTATGGTTTCAGACAGAGGGTGAAAAGAGGTGCTGCAGCACAGGCAGTATGAGAACAATAAAGAGCTTTTTCAACATTAAAGCATGGAGTCATGTCACAGTAGAGGCACTACATACATAAATAAACCTTAAAAAGTATGATCTGTATAATCCTTTCTGTGATAAACTGTTATTACTGACTGACTTGTATGGTACTATACAATAAAGTTATTTCTAATCAAATAAAAACAACACAACTCTGTCAGCTGCAAAGACAACCTGGGTAAGAATCGTATAAACATCTGAGACTTTAGACTTGTTATTACTTTTAAGAGGCTGAATAGTTAGTCAATTGTTAATGTTTACATGTATATGGTCCCTTGTGTAATATAGACTGATGCCAGCTACAGATGTGCATATGGCTGCAGTCTTAATGATCTGATTACATTGCAGGAACTAAATTGGTATAAATCAAGATGTGCACTTCAGATACACATTAGACAACAAGTCAAAGCCAACAAGAATAACAACAGCAGGTAAATGGAAAATAAGCAAAGAGATATAAGGAAAATATGAATTAAGATCAACCTGAGGATAAATTCAGTCTTTCACTATGGTGTTATTTTATAATTACACACATAGGCCCGAGATACACACACAACTGGACCTTTAAACATGCACTAATGAAGATGGGGTTTGTCTCCTAACATCTAGTTGCTTTTAGAGGCCGGTAAAAAGTTGCTGTAGCTCTTTCTTTGGTGAAACATTCAGAGAGCTCTGATGCTTATTTTTCAGCATGATGATGCACATTATTAAGTTATTTTCTTTATTTGCAACGATCACTGCTTTGTTCATCTAAAAGCAAATGTAATTACATGAAATAACACATATTTTTACTAACAATAAATTACATACATTTAATTGATAATATAATATTTTTGGGGGGAAATTGACTTATTACTCATTAATAAGACCATTTAATGTCAGATTGGACTGAGTGTAACAGTTGTACCACACGTTTTGAAAGGCCACACAACTTAAAATCACTATTAGCGGTATATAAAAGGACACAATAGGATTTGGAGGAGTAAGGCTAAATACAATTCAGATATAACTAAACTCTAATTAATCTAATTAATCAAAGTTACATTGCAGCTTTTAAAAAACGCTGTGGCAAACTG